AAGTTTTGAGATTTCTAGCATCAATTGTTTTAAAAGTATATAATCAAACAAACTATTATTTTAATACTCGGAGCAACATCTGCAATGCCATAAATCTTTCAAACTATCAGTTTACAAAAATAAATGTTTTAAATATTTTTTTAAATATTTTTTAAATGTTTTAAAATATTTTTTAAATTGTCAATGTTTTAAAAGTTTTTTATATATTATAGATTTTATTAGTACATTTTTATTATTTATTTAAAAAGTATTTTTTATGTAAATATAATTTTGTGTACCTGTTGTTGAGTCTACTGTAATCTTTTAAAACAATTTTTACAATTAATTTTCTAAACAAAAAAACTTTCAACAATAATTGCATTTTCAATGAAACTATTAATAATCATCAAAGCTTATAAAACTAATTATGAAATTAACATACAAGACGTTCCTGGTTACTAAACACAAACATGCAAACAAAGTAACTTGCAGATGAACAAGTACTGTCCCTGAGGTCACGACAGAACATAAATATTCAGTTGTCATTCTTTCAAACTCGTTATATATAAACTTAAAGTTACTTTTTTCTGTTTTAAATACTAATTAAAATTAAAAAGCCCACTCATTAAACATCATCAGTAATATTGTGAAGCAGTTCCGCTTCCTCTTCATAAAATATTTTTAACCTTTTTAGTTGATTTCTATCTAGTTATTTTAATTTCTACAGTGACTCAATGATTTAATTATTTTATTTGTTCATCCTACTAAGAAAAATTGTCTCAAATATGTTAAACTTTTCAAACTACGCGAAGAATAAAAAGTTATTAAAAAAACTAACTTTTTTATTTATAAAATAAATTTAGCTTTAATAGAACTAAAACTAGTGTTAGTTTTATTAGAATCTTGTTAAAGTTTTCAGGACCGGGGCTATTTTTATTTTGGAGGCCTTTTTTACAGGGGTGTGGAGTCGTAAAAAAAAAGTAATGACTCCGGCTCCAGTTGTTGAAATTTTTTGAGTACAACTCTGACTCCGACTCTAGTTGTTGAAATTTTTTCAGTACAACTCCGATTCCAACTCCAAATATAACTCCAAAGCAAAATTTTTGAAAAATCCTTTGAATTTTTTAAAAAATATAACGCGGCAAGTTAAAAAAATTTTTTGACAAGTTTATGAAATGTTCTTTGAGGTTTATTTATGAACATAAGGTTAATTGAATGTTTTGTAAATGCACATGCAATACCGAGAAGTTTTACTATTGGAGTTGCGATTTTGTTTAGCGACTCTGACTTCGCTAAAAATGGGGCCCCTACAGGTAGACGAGCCCCAAAAACTCATGGACCCCAAAAGCCACACGCTCACATTAGTACCTGTAACTCATAGATTAAGTCTTATCAAGGAGCAAAATAGATTTTTTTATATGACAAGATTTTTTGATAGGAAACTGTTAAAAATAACCAAGTTAGCATAATTTTGTAACAATTATACGAAAAACACTAAAATATTTTATTTAAAAATTTTATAACTTTTTGACATTATAATCCAAAAATACTTGAAATTTTCATTTAAGTTTGCAAATTTTTTTGTAAAGATCTGGGTCATACTTCTGCAAAAAAAATTAAAACAATTTTCTTTTTTAAATAGTTGTTAAAATATTTTAAGTTAACAAATGTAGGATTTCTGTGTGGTTTTTGTGGTCCATTAACAAAAATATATATATACATTAAAAACTCAATATTAAAGAAGAGTTTTTCTTTTTTCTATTGAAATTTATTTTTCTATTAAAGATAGTTGTTTGTAAAAAAAAAATTTACATAGCTTTGTTTGTCTTTAAGACAGTTTAAAAATATTTTTATACATCCTTGAAACTATTGACTCTTAAGTAAGTTAATCAACTAATTGACTAGGCTATTAAGGACAATTAAAAAGCATAATCTGTAATATGGCCATAAGAACTATAAGGTCACTTTCTTGGTGTATCCTCCTAACTGCTAGTATTTTCATCACTTTCATGCTCAATAACCTGATGTTTGAGGGAATTGTTAATTACTGCAGCAGCTAAAAACATTATTAGTAACTTTCCATCCACTTTACATGATAACTTTTTCTGCTAACTGACTTTTGTACATTGTGGCAAGAAGAGCACTGCTGTAGTTTTATGGCATGACACAAACTTTCTCCACGATCTTTAATAATTGGGAATTGTCTTGTTTAAAGCGCAGCATGTCCTCTTACATTATTTTCTTTACACCATTGAACAGCAACTTCAAGTTATTTTTTTTTTTTTTGAAAAGTTTCTTTTCTCTTTATAAATGCTTCAGCATTAGAACTTGGATTTAGTGACTTCATTTGCAAGCGTATTTTGAATTTTTTTATTGATGTTACTCATACTATAATAGAGCGATGTTATAAAAATATTTGTTCTAAACATAACTTATTTTGCGTTAAATTTTTTTTCGTTATTTTCTTTTCCTTTTTTTTTTTTTTTTTTTGTAATGTTCTCAAAATGATTAAATTGTATATAAATATATATATATATATATATATATATATAAAACTAAATCCAAAATAAATAATATACATATTAATGAAGATAAAATAAAGTCCAAAAAAAAACTTTAATGAATGAACTGATGCTATAATTAAAAGAAAATTTTTAGATTCTTAATTAAATAAAATGACCTTAATGAAAAATTAAAAAAAAAAGTTTTATATATATTTAGCTATAATGACCTATTATAACTAAAACAAGCTAAAATCTAAAGGATATTGGAATTAAAACCATGGACATTGTATATAATTACAAGATTTGTGCAAAGTATTTTTTAATGTTTTTTTTTTTTTTTTTTTTTTATTTTGCACTAGTTTAATAAAACTTAAATCCTCATTTGGTGAATGTATTTTGCGGATGGATTTTTCAGTATGGCATTTCAGTATGACATCATCAATGACATTTCATACAAAAACTAAATCCAATATAATTGGATTAGTCTATTGAAATAAAAAGCAAAAAAATATTTTACCCTGTTGCAATGCATTCTTTAAGTCTTCTAAAATGATACCCAGAATTTTTATCAATTTCTCCATCAATAGCATTACTGCTCTCTATAGTCAATCTTGCACAACGACAAGTGGTTTTATCCTTTATCAAAAAAATAAAAACCATATATTTTTGCAAAAAATGTATTTGTTTATAAAAGATGGAAGAATTTATAATACAAACATTAGAGTCAACTAGAGTTAGTTATGCAACTTAATAAATTATTAACTAAATTAAAAGAATTAACATAACAACATGAATTAAAGATTTTGGACTATATTAACAACTTGATTTTAGAATTTGCTAATTAGAAAAGAAATATTAAAAAAGAACAACAATATTTAAAGAGATGAATAAGTAATTGATTCAGAGAACTAATTCAGTGTAACAAGAATAAAAAAGTAAGAGCAAAAAAGAAGTAAAAGCAATAATAATAATAATAAGTAACTTGATAAAAAAATTAAAAGTAAAAGTAATTATAATGATGATTACTTAGACTTTAACTAATGATTTATTCCAAGAAAAATAAAAAAGAAGATTCATTATGTTTACAATTTAAGAGATTCACTTAAACTTTTCACTTTTAAACATGTCAAATGTTACATTAATAAAAACATTAAAGAAAAAAAATCTTGATAATTTTAATAACACACACAAAAATACATACAAACAGTTAAAAAGAGAAAATGACATTTAACTAATAATATTAATAATATTTTATAACATATATCATAATTATACCATTATTATCATCATATAAATAACCATAAAATATTTTATAAATAAAAACAAATAAAATCTCATAAATCATAATTAATAATTTAAAATGCTTGTAAAGAAAGAGAGAAAAGAATTGGCTTCAATGGAGCATAGTCTAGGTGTCCTGATTTCAAAAGACTTGAAAGTCAAGCATTAAGTTGAAGCAACAGTTACAAAAGAAAACCAAACCCTTGGTTGGTTTTAGAAATCTTTCCAATGCAGAGGTTTTACGTTTAACAAAGTGTTTAACAAAACATATGTAAGACCACACCTGGAATTCACTATTTAAGCATGGATTCACATCTGAAAGGCAACATCATGGCACTAAAAAGCATTCAACAATGTGTGACAAAGGTAATCAATTACAAATGGAACGAAGCTTTTAAAAATTTTAGACTTAATCTAACTCAAAGACAGATGAGTTAGACATGATTTGAATCAATCAACGATCGATGGTCAATCAATGATCGATGATTGTCTAATTTTAAAAATAATGACTTACAGTTCTTGCCCATTAAATTTGATCGGCCAGAATGGATTTTAAAAAATCAATTCTGGCTGATCAAATTTAATGGGCAAGAACTGTAAGTCTTACTTTATATTGAAAATTCAAAAACAATCCAAAACAAACGTCACAAAAACATTAAAAAATACCAAAGTAAAACATAAACATAAGAACATTAAAAGTAAAACATCGCTTAAAAAAGAGAAACTAAGGTATTACAAAATTTATATAAACAAAAAGTTTATTACCCATTAATAAACTTATTTGAATAAATAGAATTTTTTTTAATGAATCGAATTTGCACTAGCTTTTAGAAACAATAACAATGCTGTGAAAAATAAAAAATAATGCGAGTTTATGATTGTTAGGAAGAATGCTGACTTGAAAACATCATAATGCTTTAAGCAAAATAAAATTGTTTTTGTTTAAAATATATAGAAAATAAGTTTTAGAAGTAAAATTATATAAAAAGTATAAAAATAATCATAAAATGGATGTGGGATAAGAGATTACAATTACAATTACAAATAACTAATAAGTGGAAAGCTTCTACGCTTGCAAAATATATTGTCAACAATTGGCTCAAAATAAAGAGTGTTGATTAAATAGTTATCTGCTAGGATGCAGAGGATGCCAATAATATGCTTCTCAAATTCAGATTCTAAAAAGGTACACGCCAGAATAAGTGTTGAAAAAGGATGCAACAGTTCCGCAATCATACATGCAAAAGAAATGTCACACCAGAAAGCTTTTGAAATATTTATGAAAACAAGAAGTATGAGTTTGTGCAATAGAATTAAAAAACAATTATTACTATTATTATTAACAACTATTAAAACCATGCATAGTAAGGATCTTAATTTGACCAAATTCAAAGTTGCTTACTTTATAGCAAAAGACGAATTGTCATTTAGTCTATATAAAAGAAAATTAAATTACAAGAGAAACATAGTGTAGTGTTTGATCAAGCTTAACAGAACGCAAATACTTGCGGAACATTAATTGACTTCAAACTATGAGACTGGCTAAAGACCTAAAAAAACCTGATTAATAGAAACTTTTTCACTATTCTAATTAAGGGTTCAAACAACGTTTTAATTATGGAAAAAGGAGCTATATTTGTTATCACCTTTTTCCAATCCCAACTGGAAAATCTGAAGTATGTGCTGAATATGACTTTCTTTCATTTTCAGATGTTGAATATGGACAGCATTTTTAACATAATAAAATAATCACTTGAGAATATAGAAATCAAAAATTGCAATATCAAATTAGTTGGTTTTGGTGCAGATGGCGCATCTGTGAATAGAGGAAGCAAATCAGGTGTTAAAATGTTGCTCACAGCTGAAATTCCATGGATCACATTTAGTTGGTGTATTGTACATTGTCTCGAGATATTATTAAAAGATAAGTTAGGAAAGACTAAATCATTTAACGATGTTGATTGCATTATTTTAAGAATGCACTGCATTAACAAAAAATCATCTAAAAACTTAAGGGAGCTTAGTGAACTTGTATCTATTTTAGAAGATGATTTTTTGTATTGCTGCTGGTATTGTTTTGCTTGATTTATTTGTTATATATTTTTACTATTTTAGTTATGCATGATGGATTGGCTTATATTCTTAAATTTGTTGACTATAAAGTAAAATATAAAATGGTAAACTTCATTTTCAGGTACATGATGGATTGATCATAAAGTTTGGAACTAAAAGACCGTATTAGACAAATACAGTGTTTATTTAACAAATCTGGAACAGAAGATCACGCTTTTACAAATGCTGAACAAGCTATGTTCAGGATACCATAAGAAGTGGGTTCATGCAAGAATACAGTTTTTTATTGCACTGTTTATCAAAATATTAGCACCGACAAAAATGTTGTCAAAACTCTTTTAAAGTGATGAGATTGATGTATTAGCTTCATCAGGATTTATTCAACAAGCTGAAAAACTAATTAAATTACTTTCAAAAGATAAAATTTATTGATTTGTCAACAGAAAAATGTTTCCTTGCCATAGTGGCTGAAAAGGCTGTAAAGTTTTATTTCCAGGGAATCGCACTTAACGACTTTGTAAATGCTGAACAATTAGTAAAAAATTCAAAATCTATTCTTACTGAGTTAGTCATAGAACATTTAAAAACATGTGATAATATCCCTGATATGTATATTATAAAAATTATTAACACAGAAGGCTGGTTTCAATGTATTGAAAACAATTCACTGGATGAAGAAATAGAAAAAGTTTATGACAAAACGCCATTGCAACATAAATGTTTTACCAGAAATGTAAATGATGTTTTGGACGCTTGGCAGAGCTTAGTAAATTACACTGTAAAGTACTTAGTACCACAAAATACCGTTACTGCAAGTTATGGCACCAAATATTTTCCAGCTTGATGAAAAATTAATGGGTTGCGGATCTATTTCTTGTTGAACTATTTTTCAATAATGAATTGAGTGAAAATGGACGCACGCAACTCTCTGAAAGAGAAACGTTTGCAAGATTTAATTTGAGTAAATTAAAAAGGAAAAGATTCTAATGTATTTGATTTAAGTCCTGCTATATAGTTATGCACTAATGATGTAGTGTGAAGGCCAACATAATCAGAGGGAAAAAATTACTCAAAAAGAGTGAAAAAAACTGATTTAAAAACAATAATTGATTTGGATTTTTTATCTGACGAATCAAATAACAAATAGTTCAAAACCTTTTCAGTATTTTTTTTGCTTTATAAATAATATTTTTGTGTTAAAGTTTTAATCAACAAATGTTTTCCTAATAATACTCGTATTGTTTTTGTAAAAAAAACTATTGTTTCTTTTCTGTAACTGAAACATTTTTGCAATTAAACTTTGAATGAATGAGCTTGATACTTTAATTTAATTTGCTTTTTTTTGCTTAAATTTAAATGTTTTTACTAAATCTAAATTACTAAATCGTTTACATAACTAACTATGACATTACATTTATAAATTACTAAATCGTAGTTGCAAACAGTCGTTTAGTTTAAACTGTAGTTTAAACTAAATGAATTTAAAAATATATTTTACATTATAAATATAATAAAAATATTTATATTATAAATATAACAAATATATTTTGTAATATAAATATAAAAAAATAATCTTAATTGGATGAGATATTCATAACAAAAATCTTAAAGTTAATGACAAAATGCGCTAAAAAATAACTTGATGGTGATTGAAAAATATCTT